GTGTTCTAACTTAGTAAAATATTAGATGGGGGAGTCTTGACTTTTTATTCACCCTGTATATACAGAGATAATCTTCTTGTACACAGACACAGGGTATTTTATAGTGATAGACAAGGCCCAAAACTTCGAGATTTTTTTTATCTCGAAGCATTGAGCAGGATTGAAATACTAACGGGATATTTTCGAGACGAGATTAGAGGTTGTTAGCTTATCATCCAGGTACAAAACTAAAAAGTAGAGATGTGCATATATGTGAAAAATCGGGTTGGATTTGGTTCGGAAAGATACATGCCATTGACATATATGTTATTTGCATCAAGAGATAAACACTGAGTCATGGCCTCGCCATATAAGTTATTTGCACCAAGAGACAAACACTGAGACATGCCCTTGGCATATAAGTTATTTGCATCCAAAGACAAACACTGAGACATGGCCTTGCCATATATGTTATTTGCATCCTAAGACAAACACTGAGACATGGCCTTGCCATATAAGTTATTTGCATCAAGAGACAAACACTGAGACATGGCCGTGCCATATAAATTATTTGCATCAAGAGGCAAACACTGAGACATGGCCTTGCCATACAATTTATTTGCATCTAGATACAAACACCGAGACATGGCCTTGCCATATAAGTTATTTGCATTAACAGACAAACACTTGAGGGAAAAAACGGTCTTGTACATGGATTCAGACAGCTTTGTGTTAGTAAAAAAATCGGGGTTGTACAGTGTTACAGACAGCTTTGTGTTAGTAAACAAATCGGGGTTGTATAGTGATACAGACTCCTTTGTGTTAGTAAAAAAATCGGGGTTGTACAGTGGTACAGCTTTGTGTTAGTAAACAAATCGGGGTTGTACAGTGATACAGACGTCTTAGTGTTAGTAGAAAAATCGGGGTTGTACAGTGATACAGACTTCTTTGTGTTAGTAAAAAAATCAGGGTTGTACAGTGATACAGACAGCTTTGTGTTAGTAAACAAATCGGGGGAAATCGGTCTCTTACATGGATACAGACAGCTTTGTGTTACTAAAAAAATCGGATCCGGTAGTCCGATATCCGGATTCGACCATCACTACAAAATATATATAATGAGTAAGAGTTTTATTTGAAGAATAAAATAATTTTTATGATAGTCTAGTTTAAAACATTTTGTAAAAATTTATAAATTTTGACTTTTTTTACCAAAAACTTTTTTTATTCAATATTTTATAAATTTAGTTTGCTATTTTATTGTTCTTCAGTTTGTTCTGAACCAAAAAAATATATGTTAGGGTATCTTAGTTTTTTAATTTTTAACAATTTTTTTTAAAAAGATCTGAAAATTAGCAAAACATACCCGGGCTGGGAAAGTAGCATGACCTAGCTTACTCGGGAGTCAAGAGGTTAAGATTTAGTAGGAGAGAGCCAAGTATAATAATCAGTATTTGATCAAAACTATTTTTCCCTATATCGAGTAATCTTCAGTGTAATCTTTGCTCAATAGTAACACCTGATGTGTTTCCCTTTGTACTGTACATTTTAATTTGCTAGTATACTGTGAACACAGAGCATAGAATAAATATAGAGGCGGCACTTGCCGTTTGGAGTGAAGCAGGCTTCTCATACCGAGATGGAGGCCGGCCCGGTCGGCATCTATATATTTAATACGCAAGGCATATTTTTGCCATAATTGTTTTGGAGTGGTGGTCTTCAAAGATCCCATGTTTTTCTTAGGGAGAAAATGTTTGTTTACATTTGAACAGATGAATACTTTGAAATTGACACTAATATTTAAAACAGCTGGTTATACTAAAATTTTGCACAAAATCAAAACATAACCAAAAAACCGTTCGACATAATGGAGACTTTAAGACGTTGACCAGGACGGCCAATAGGAGGAGGCCGACGAACTTAAACTGGTAGACGCTAACGAAATACAAATAATACTATTGTCGTTGATAGCCGAATACAGCAAGCACCCTTCCGTGTTGGGTTTCAGTGTGCTCTCCAACAGCCGCCTGAAGATTTTACATTCAATGTAGGACTGCTGGATAATCGCTGCATAAGCTGTTGATTTTGGAAGACAAGGAGGCGGGTAGGACTACATCGGAAACAGAAGAGAGGAGATATTAGATGAGTTCCAAATGCGTTGGGAGCAGAGTGTTTTATGTTAAGGTTTTTAAGTTAAACGTTCGGATATATACCTATCAGAAAGAGACTGGAACAAGATTGTGAGAAGGGCCATTATGAAACGCAGTTTTTCACAGGACATGGACAATTTCAAGGTGAATTTGTGAAGATTTCACATGGTCGAAGAGGAAGTATGTAGATGTGGAGAAATAAAAACCACGAGTCACGTATTTATAAATTGTTCACTTCAGGAGACAAATATTAGAGAACAGGAACAAGTCTTGGATAAGAGAGGTCTAAAGATGAGAAAATAAAACATGATGAGTGACAGGGAAACAATTTGAGACGTGTAGAAAAGTAGCTATGGAATTAGGAAAAACCAGGTATAAATACAGACTTTTAAATTTAAAAAATAAACAAACAAGATCTAAGAAAGAAAAGGGTTGAAAACTTGCCCACCAAGGGGAGAGAAAAGGTTAGAGTGAATCTCAATGATCCCTATCGCTCAGGGCGGTATGGGGAAGGGAGTCGTGCTGTTAGGCTTTTGGCCACCTAATGTGTCTGGAAACCTATTGAGTAAGGCTATTTGGAGAAAACACTATTTACAATAAATGTTGATTATATCGATCTGTTATGTACATCTTGAGTATTTCCATAATCTTCGAGTTGAATATTCTAAGTCATCAGAAATTATGACTGTTATTCGTTTTAAAATAACACCTGTAATACTTAGCAATTGCTTGAATTCGAGCAACAGGTACACTAGTTTACATTCAAACCATTATATTGTTACCATGGAAATCACCAATCAATATTTACTTTTAAAACTCCCACCTCAGAACTTTGAAAGCCTGCGGGGCAGAGTCCTAGGTCAATATCGAAGGGGGGATAGTTCTATACGTATCCTCGGAGCGGTAGCTTCATCTAATTCATAAAGTAGCATAGAATAACACAGTGGTAATGACGCCGTGTTTTCAAAGTTCCGAGCCTGACTCTCTTACCAAGATGGCGGAAATCGGCTTCACTACTGGTATAGGAGTGGCGACTATATTTATTCTATGCTCTGTGACTGTGAATGGCTTGTTATAAACACATGTTACAAGTCTTTTGTTTACTTTTTCCTTGTTATTTTGTTCAACCAACATTACTTGGCAACATAAGGCTAATGTTAAATTTTGTTAAGTTTTCAAATGAGTTGTGAAGCAAACTACAAATTTACCTGAAGTAGTGGCTGTCGTCAACCACGTTTTTAGGACAGAAATAAATTAATATTTGAAGGAAATTGTCAAAGCCCTTTTTGGGATTTTGTACAAGCATACATGCAATACAAACATACTGTACAAACAAACATTGCTCATGTAAGAGTAATAATTGAATCTAACTAATATTAAATTAATTTATAAAATCATCTAGGGAATAAAACACAAGAGGACGAGATATGGGTAAAGTAAATAATTTAATGATTGCTTGTTTGTGGGTTTATCTTTCATAATGTTTTGCAAATTCACATTTCAATATAGAGTAAAATGTTATCATCAATTCTATCAAGTTTATTGTTTGCCTGATTCCAGAAAATTGAGCACTCATTGGATCAATGTTCATTTTTGTAGTTAATTTCTTTTGATTGTGAAACTGTTGGATTAAAATATCAGCAAAACTAGGTACTAGATAATAGATTATAATTTCGTGAACAACAAAATCAAAATAGTTACTTGAAATATGCTTAGTCTGCAGGTGACAGTAGTATGTTGATATAATACTTTTAGCTACAATTTCATTATCCAATTAGTTACTATGTTTAAAACAAAGTACACCTATTATTTGATTGTTGGGGAGCGAGCTGGCGTAGTGGTTAGAGCGCGGGACTTCAGTCCCTGAGGTCCCGGGTTCGATCCCCGCCAAGTCACCAATGGATTTTATCTAAGTGATAATGCCGCAACCCCTAGGTCTAGCCTGAAGTAATGTGAAAAACAATCCCAGGCTCGTGCCTAGCGTCCTTAGGACAAAAAAAAAAAAAATTATTTGATTGTTGCACATTATTAATAAATGGTATCAGCAATCTAACACATACTTTCTAACCTTCATCATGGGTATGCGGTGGGAGTAACTTTGATATTTTCTAAGGAAAATCACAAATGTTGCAATAACTTTTGAATTGTGATTTTTCCAGCAATGGTGGGTTGCACTAATTTCTTTAGAATTATGAGGACCAAAACCTACACATTTTAGTCAAAAGTGTTTTTTTTTTCAAAATGGAGATTTTCTGTTATATTAGGTATAGGGTTTTAATGGGAAAAGAATATAAGTTACAATAACCATAATTTACAGCAATGGGAGTGGTACCATTTTGTTCAGAATTTGAAGGACTATAACATACTGGGCCATAAAAAAAAGATTGATTTGTCTGCTATTTTATGGGAAATTTGCTATTAAAAATAGAATTTCAAAAAAGTAAATAAAACACCTGGAGATACTACCATGAATTAACCCACATACCAAAATTTCATCAAAATCGGACTATAGGTGTGGTCTGTAGCTCTGTACACGTTCACACATATACACAGACACAGACAGACATCACTTCAAAACTATTGTTTTGGGTCCCCAAAATTAATATATCCTTTCAAAACCCAAACCCAAAAATTTTGATGGTAACTAAACTATACTTTCTTCATTTACTATGATATAGCCCCCTGGTAAAAATGTACCAAAAACATTTAAGTTAAACCTTCCTAGTTGGATACCAAAGAAGTTAAACTATTGTTTTATCAATTTTACAATAATTGTATTACAAAAATATTGTCCAAGATAACTGCTTGTACAATCCTGCAGTGATAAAAAGCAATTTGTAAGACTGATTGCATTGGATATTTTTGTTTTAGATGACACAATATTTGATGTTGTCGGATGTTTGGAATATGATCCAAGTCTACCAGCACCAAAACGTCATCGACAGTACCTGAAAAATTGTTCCAGGTAAAATACTTTTGTATGGTTCCTTATTTCAAAGTAAAGTATTAAAGTATATTAATAAAATATCTTTATTAAATAGACTTAATTCCACTAGCCATATAATTGCAATATCGACTAATATGTTTTTAGAATAGGCCTTCTTGTCAGAAGTTTCAATAGTAGTTTGCAGGGCATTAAATCATTACTCATCTTTTCAGGAAACAAATTAAGTTGTCCACTTGAGTCCTATCACTGTTGATATTGATAATATAAAAGAAAGGCAAATGTGGACATATATACCAACATACAACCTAAAAAGGAACACTTTCATCTGAAAGAACGAGGCTATGGCCAGTTACACCTAAAAAGTTACAGTGCCCTTTCCTCCTACAAAGTGTGTCATGTCATGGTACACTTAGAATAGTCATTATAAGTGGAGTGTCAGATATGTAGATCCATCCCTGTATGCCAAGTTACTTTGTTTGTTTATTCACTTACATTAGTTATGTTTGTAAACTGAAATTAAAAATTACCGAAATATTTGAAATGTGATTGTGGCAACATCTGTTGTAATCTAGGGAAATCATAATCATCTCCCAAAACTTTGGCATATCTTAATATTGCTTTCCACATTGCTTGCAAGATAATTTTTCACATAATTTTGGCAAACGATTTCTACTCATAGGCTAGTTATGTATTTTACTTGTGCTGTAGGTTACACATGTGTTGGTTAAAACGAATGCCATTAAATACCTTTTCTTTATAATGACAGCCCAAACTCCAATCTTGGTACCAGTACTAATTTAGTTCAACTTTTTGTTAGAAGGCTTTACTGAATAGCCTATCACCAACAGGTGACCCCAGATACAATCCTACTCAGAATAAAATTTGCAATCAATATTATTGGAAGACAAACACTTTAAACACTGTGCTGCCCAGTATAACATTCATAAATGTACAATAAAACAAATAGTAACTAATGTTCTAATGGTTTGGTTGGTCACAATTTGATGCCAACTTTTGTTTACAGGTTTAAGGAGGTGATACCAATGACCAATCCTGAATTGTTGGCCAAGATACATCAGACATATCGTGTTCAGTACATTCAAGACGTCGTCCTGCCAACTCCTTCTGTCTTTGAAGACAACATGCTTTCCACACTGTCCAGTTTTATTTTCTTTAACAAAGTTGAAATTGTAACTTTAATTCAGGTGAGCTAGAGTTGAACAAGTTACCCGAGACATAAGTTAAACAAGGCTATAATGAGAAGTGGTTAAGTTGTGTAGATTGAACTAACCCACATAAGCTCAATTAAAAAGCTTCTTATGCTTAAGATCAAGTCAACTGTAATACCAATAATTACCAATACTGTAGTACAAAAGTAACAATGGCATGCAGTGATGTTTATGGTAATACATCTTGATATTTAAATATTGGCTAAACTGAAGTTTAGAAACTAAAGGTGTGCGGATAGTGAAGTTTGAGATCGGATTTAGATCGGATAGTTATGGCTCCGATCGGATTACAATAGCTTCGGATTCAGATAATTTTGGATTTGGATGGTTCGCTGATTTAATAAATTAATAGCAAGGTTAATAAAGTTAATGTCATTTTTATATATCATAACATTAAAGAAATATAATTGATCGGATCAAAATTACTTTACTGTATGGTGCATTAAACTTATTTACCTGGAATGTGTTTTTATCTGTTTTTTTTATGTCCCTAGACCACAAATGTTGCAATTACATCTTACATTTCTTCTTACATGCAGGTTAGACATTTCTTCTTACATTCAATCAAGGTCTCAAGTTAGCCTTACATCAAGTTAGCCTTAAAAAAAAAAAAATAATTTGTCATTGATAATAAGCTTAGGCCTATTGTAAAGTATGCTTAGTATCCTACATAACTTACACTCCTTTCCAATATGTAAAAATATATAAATACTAAACCGTATTAAAAATACAAATGGTTTAAAATAGTCCTAGGCCTAGCCTACTTGTTTTTGTTTTCACTGTAGGCTAAACAAATGTAAATAAATGTCATAACAATGACATTAATTGAGATAATTTTGGTACTGTAGGGGAATAAATACTGTAGACATAAATAGATTAATGACCAAGGGCCTAATTTATATTTTGTAGATTTTCAAGATTTATTTAAGTTATTTAAATTTGTTTGGACAGTAAAAAACATATGGAAAGTAAGGGCTTTGTTACGGATAACAAGGGTGTGACTTACACCATTGGGCCTAGCTATTTAACTTAATCTGCAATCAGTTATCTTTAGTGCTCCGGACACATGAATTAAGTTGCAATGAATTATTTTTACAGTTAAAAAATCGCATTTGACAAATTAACGTTCAACAAATATAACACGTATGACCTACAGTGCCTTGAGCACAATTTTGCAATAAGTACATTTAGCCTTTTTCTTTTTCACCGTCGTCAAGTTTTCTAAAATATTCCCATATTGCACTCTTTGTTTTCTTTGTTGATGTATCCATTTTTATTTCAAACTAAACATAACTCGTCAATTGTTGAGGTTATATTTTGACATTTTCCAATGTCAAACCAAACAACTCGCAGTTCCAGTTCCAATCCAAAACAAAATTTATTTCATTGTTTTAATCTGAAGAATAAACCGGACATCAATGAGTTACAGTTTTATGTAAGCTAAAGCAGTAATTAACAGACAGTCAGACAACCCCTATCGCGATATTTCACAGTTGTTGAGTTGTGTTGTGTTACCAAACGGTTTCAATCTACAGTCCTCACGACCAAATAAAAATCCCACTCACTGGGTCAACCGGTCAAGAGAATACCGTTTTATCCCACTTTAAGGTCCCACTGCACTTTAATCCCACTTTATTCCGCTTGACTTTTTCCGGTTTATCCGGTGTTACCTTTTTGACGTAATATCATGTTTAGGAAAAGACTATTTAAATGACGCTTACATCTTGCAATAACACTGTCGTAAACAATTATCCAACCAATAATATGTTTATATATAGAAAGCAGCAAATTCTGATTCCCTTTTCACACTCAAAGTCTAAAATTCCCATTTTCGGGATATAAATCTTGCGCATTGAAACACTGATCGAAACGGAACGAACATTGTCGAAATTAGGGCCCAGATGTTGTGAATTGTGATGTTAAAGAGCTAATAGACAAGCAAAGGAAAACATTACTAGTGGATTCAAGTGTCTGGAACGGCAGTCAAACTTTTAACAGTTGTAGCATCGTGTTATTATTGTCTTGCAGTGGCACATAAATAATGGTTGACTAGTGACATATGTAATGGCGTCGTAGCATAGCGCTCCTAGTAACAATCAACTTACACGAATTGACTTTCACTTGACCTCGGACAGTAGTTCTTTTCTGCTTTATCTCTGTTGGTTCTAGATAAATCGAATCCTAAAGTAAAAGCAAATGAATGAACAGCCGATAAACAACTGAATGAGATTTTGGTATTGCATCATACGGCTTTGTCTTCGAGCTCACGGATAATTTAAGCTAGACAAAAGTAATACTCGAGAAAGGAAATAATAAGCACGAGATAAAAATTTAGTGTTTGGCGTTACTGTACTTTGATTGATAATATTTATCATAACTAAACTCTTTTCGAATGTTTAATGTGTCTATTTATAGTGAACTGTCTTGTTCTCGATTGATCGTAATGCGGTACTGTATGGTACGTGGTATATCGATTGTCATTGCTGTATTTATTTGTTGATTCGGTTTTTTCCACGGCGACGATATGAATGTTTTAGTTTTGTGTCATAGACGATGACTCAACGACCAATGTAACTTCGCGTCGATGGGAACGAGTGGTGTTGAAATTTATTACGTCGTGAGAAACTAATGATGATAATAAGAAACCTTATTTGAGCATTTTGGCTTTAGTCTCAAACGTCATTATATACAGTCTAATGACAGATATATAACGGATAGTGTCGGATATCAAATTTGGGCTCGGTTCGGTTAGGCCTACAGATATCCGAACCGAAACGAAACCGACCCAAAATTTCGGATATTTGCACACCTCTATTAGAAACACTGTTTACAAGTTTATTAAACTAACTAATTAATGGGGATGGTCAAGTCTTGAAACTTCGGGAAATTTTAAAGATGAGATTTCTTTTTGGCTGAGATTTTTATCAAGACAAGAAAAAAGAAAAAAAAAAAAAAAGAAAAAACGCCTGCAGAAAGTCTATGCAATACCCGCAGTACATGAGCGTGTTGTAGTTGCGTTTCCTTTGCGAAGGCGTTCTTATTGAATTAATTCTTTAAATGTAAATATTACTTTAATTATTTTAATAATATTACTTTAATAACATTTGAGAAGTTTTGTTAAGTGTACGCAGTGTGAGGAATGTTTTATTACTATAAAAAGTCAAAACAAGTACCTAACTATTTTATATAAATTAATATTGCTTTTATTTTATGATTTATTTTATTTTAGGATAAGTTGAACTCTATCCTAACTGATATCACTATGTTTCCTAATCGTAGGCATTTTTAATAAGTTAGGCGTGATTAATAAAAAAAATGTTATGCTGATGTTTTTTAATAAAAGATTGTAAATATTCTTGCCTATTATCATTATTTTTGTATTTAAACAGTCATCTAACAATGTTACAAAATCAGGTAAAAATTTTGAACGTGCATTTCCCGTTGTGTATGAGAAGGGGAATCCCGTCTCAATCTGGTCTCGAAATTTTATGAGAAATAAAAAATCTCGTCTCGTCTCAAACTAAAAATCCAATCTTGTCCATCCCTACTAATTAACTTAATTTTTGCTGACCTTACCCCCAGAGATGGACAGTATTGTACTTTTATTTGGGGATCGTGTAGGCCTACAGGATTTTTTATATCCTGCTTGATTTTTTACAGAATTTTTCTTCCCATGTAATTAATATTTTTTAAATATTCAGTAAAAAGTTCTTGCAAAGAGTGATGAACTTGCACAAACTTGGAACCTGACAATTGAGACAACTTGCATAGGATTCGCACAACCTGTTGTCTTGTTTACTGATCGTACAATCACAGGCTTGTTGTAGTCTCCCTCCTGCCTCCCACCCAGGTCAATTAACAGCTGCTTGGGTACAAGGTGAAAACCAACAAACTTGACTGTCCTTCGAGCTATTAATCATTCTTATTTCAGGGTGTCTAGTAATCGGGAAAGCCGGGAATTAGTATTGAATTTCAAAATGGTCTTGAAAAGTCGGGATTTAGTCTTTATTTTGATATCAAAGTCGGAAATTTTCAAAGACAATGATGATGATGATGTCTACACGGCCGCGGGAGATGTTCACGATTATGCTGCGATCGCAAACGACGACGATGACGTTTCCGGAATCGGGGGAGACGACGATAACGTTTCGGTGACCGCGAGAGACGACGATGACGTTTCCATGACCGTGGGAGCCTATGATGATATCTACACGGTTGCGGGAAATGATCACAATTTTGCCACGATCGCGGGCGACGACAATGACTTTTCTGTGACCGCTTGACAGATGATGTCTTCACGGCCGTGAGAAATGTTTCATAACTTTTCCGCGATCGCGGATAATGGTGATGGCGTTTCCGTGACTGTGGTAGTCAATGATGATGTCTACACGTCCTATAGCAGAAGATATCATGATAAAAAAAAAACCTTAATTTGCTGGCTAGAATTTTTCATTGCTGCATTTTGTCTTTACTTAAAAACCATTATCTTAATAATACTTTATAGGGTGTGTGTAGTAGAACCAAATTATTTAGAAAATTTGGTTAAACTATAAATAAAAATTGTTGTCAGTATCAAGAAACGAGAATTGATACATTTGGTATCGACACTCACTATTTGTTGAAAAAAAACTAGTCTTGAAAAGTCTGGAATTAGTCTTGAATTTTAAAGTGGAAATAAACTAGACACCCTGTTATTTGGAAAAGTACCCAAGATTGAAATATTGTACTCATAGAACGTGGTTGAACAATTCTAATGCTGACAAAATATTTCTTTTGTTGAGTTCTGTTTTGGACATATTTTTGTATCTTAAAATAGTAAAATCTTATATTCGTACAAAACTCAAGTTAAAAAATTCAATCTCTTCAATATGCCAAAACTATTTTTGGGTAACTTAACACTGGTTATGAAAATCATAATCGGTTTGAGAGTCGCCTCATTTGATACCTAGAAGCATCGGTCCACCCTATTAATATTAAATACTAGCAGAGCACCCGTCCTTCGTACGGGGTTTGGCATATATAAGTATAAAATGCTTATTGCAGTTATACTCAAGCTTTGCGTTTGCAATGGGGGGAGGACACAGTTTGATAAAATTTGCTTCATAGATTTACGGTTTGATATAGTATAACACATCTACCATTCCCATAATGTTCTACCACTGCGCCTAAACAATAGAAGAAAAAAAATTATCAAACATTCGCACAATATCACAAATTATACATTAAATTAAAAACTCAAACCTAACTGTAAACAATCTTACTTTGACAGTTCTCATTGTGTATCACAGCTTTTTGTTGCTGCTTAGTTCAAATTAGCTGTTGTCATATATGCAAAAACAAAATAATAATAGTGCTGCACCTTGTTGGGAAACCTTATAACGTTTTAATGCTATTGCATATTATAGAACCAACTTGTAAAGTTGAAACAGCTGACTAAATTCTTTAATTCCCTTTAAATATGAATACTCATAAGATTAACATGGGGAACTACATAGCCACTGGGGCGGAGCCCAAAAGGATTTATGAGATAAAAATATGCCTTAATGTTAATTGGGAATGTGAGCTATCATCATGCCAAATTTCAGCCCAATCCGTCCAGTATAAGATTAACATGGGGAACTATATAGCCACTGGGGCGGAGCCCAAAAGGATTTTTGAGATAAAAATATGCCTTAATGTTAATTGGGAATGTGAGCTATCATCATGCCAAATTTCAGCCCAATCCGTCCAGTAGTTTATGTGTGATTGAGCAACACACATACAAACACACACACAAACACACACACAAACTCACAAACTTTCAGATTTATAATTTTAGTAAGATTAAGGAAACGATCAAATTTATGCCTATATCAGCACCATATTTCGTTATGAAAAGACAACAACTGGCTGCCTGACTTTGTATGAGCTGTTGCCATGAGGTACATGATACCAGAATCAGTACAATACTTTGCAAAACACTAGTCTGACGGTCCAGATGGTTGTCTAACATAAAATAGTCTATGTGCGATATCTCTTAATTTTCTTTTATAATGTTTTAACAGTCAAAATTTCCATGCCCTAACAGTGTTTTGATTGTGTGAACTCTAACAAATATTTCTCTCTTGGTTTTTTGTGTCTTGCAATGACCACAAAATTGCTGGCGGTTAGGAAAAATCATGTCCCAAGAAAATACAAAATTGAATGTACTCCTGCCCAAAGATTAAAAATATATTTTTCCTGAAAATGTCTTAAAATTTCAGGATTAATCAATGTGGCAGATTGCGGTTTAATTTCAATCTTTAAATTTCAGGGCCCCTCAATCCCTACAGTTAACTTACATTAGAGTTTGTGTGTACACAACAATCAATCAATGCGATGGTGAACAAGTACTATAGGCTGTGTGATTTCAACGTCAAAGCTGTGTCTCAATTTGAAATCATTGTAATTAGCTGTGCGCAAATGAATTACCTTTATTTTGAATCGCTCAATCTTCGTTCTAGGATAAGTTTAGGGTTTTATTGGGTCTGAGTTTTTACACCTTAATTGATTTGAGTGTTGTCTCATTTGAAACCTAGAAGCATCATTAGTCCACCCCCAAGCAAACAACCAGTTAAATAAAACCACAATTTTGCAACATCTATGAATTGTGTAAAATGTTTTTATAGTCAAATGTTACAACCAAAGTGAAATGTAATACACAACATTTAGACAATCCTAAAGGTTTGTTTGCTGCTTGTGTTAGACCTCTGTTGACCCCTCAAGTGTCTACAGTAACTCGGATTTGGTTCCTACCTAATTTAAAGTTGACAATTGTAGTTTAGGATGTAGCGAAATTTATAAAAAAATGGTCAATTAAGGTCAGAGTGCTTATCACCCAGTCATGCCTCATTAGTAGGAATTTTAAAAACATTTTGTGACATCAAGTTCTGCTATGTTTATTGATTTCATTGAATTTAGTAGCTTATTAATTATATCATAACTTAATTTATCTTTACATTGCAGGAAGACGAAAGGTTTTTAAATGATCTGTTTCACCAGCTAACAGATGAAGCAACACCTGATTCAAAAAGAAGAGACCTGGTATTATTTTTAAAGGAATACTGCAACTTTTCACAAAACCTTCAGCCACAAGGAAAAGAAACATTCTACAAGGTACTAGCAATACTCTTAAAAGTATTGGCATTAATGTGACATTGCTTTTTGTTTTCGTCCCTTGCTCTCTTCCCACACCAAAACCAAAATTACAAATATTTATTGAAAAGATACATTTGTTTTCCAATACAAAATTATTGGAGCGATGAAATAGTTACAATATTTGGGCAATTTTGAATTTGTGAAATGACCATAGTCTTAAAAGAGAATTTGGAAGGACGTCTCCACCCAAACCAGAAATTATTGAATATCCATACAGACAAATGCAAGACCAGGTAGCCGCTGAAAGAAAATGTAATTATCTTTCTGTGAAACAGAAACAGCGGTAAATTACATGACCATCATATTGTCGTGTTATAACAATAATCATGACCGCGGTCCTATCTAGATCCTCTCCTGTGATAAAGGCGAAATTGAGGGCAAATATCAGACATTTTAGAGCATACGACTACGAAGATATCATTATCACCTTCTGTGATCCCGGCAATATCTATATATTCCCTCACAGTTTAGGGCTACTTACAAGAAACTTCAATTGCAATATGTAAAATAAATCCCCCTAAAATCCTAGTGGTGCTAGTGCGCCGCTGTCCTTCCCTCAGGGCATCCCCTGCTAACAGATGTGCTAACCCTGAAAAGAAATCTCTCAAAGGGATTAGGTAAATTAATTGTGTTACTGAGATCCTTTTATTGTTGAGGGTCTTGTTATGAAGATATTTAAGTTGTGTTATCAAAGTCAATGAAAACACTAAGCAAGAACCATCTTTATAATAGTGAGTGCATTTCAGAGAAACGCTTATGCTAATTAACAAGTTTATTTTTCAAAGTATAGGCCTAATTTACCATTTAATTAATATTAACACGTTGACTGCGCCGACTGAGCCGACTTTACAGGCGCTCCCCAGTGGCGGGCGAAGCCCCGGCGTGCAACCGAATCAGCGAACGCAATTGGCATTCAAATATTTCAGTCTGACGAATCACAAAAGAGCAGTGGTGACTGTGCTGCGTTACCCCGAGAGTGGATGTAGTTCACTGAAACACCCAAAGGTAGCAGCACTGCATGGATCCGTATCCAGTGTCTTTGTAATGTGGGTTGAAGAGAAAAAATCCCCGAAACCGGGACAAAAGCATTGCCAGACAGGATTTTACGGGAAATTTTAGTACCAACCTACACCAAAGTAAAGCTCGCATTCTAAGCTGGCAGGCTGGCAACGATTATAATGTCTCCGTCTGAGGCTAAGCTCACACTGACTCAATATATTTCTGTTGGTCTGGTGCCGACTTTAGTCGGCGCGCGCCACCTGGGAGCGCTGGTGACGCCGACTAAAGTCGGCACGCGCAGTCAACGTGTTAATCTGTATCAAAGCTTTAAAATGATTGGGATTCATTTTTGAAAATTGGAGAGTTAAAATCCTTAGTTATATTAACAATTTAAATTTAAAAGTTTAGTACCTACGTTAGTTTTGTAGTAAAGTTTGTTTGTGTTGATGTTAGTGTGTGATTTTGTTTTGGGTAGACACTTTCTTCACTGGGGATTCTACCATCATTGGAGATCACTCTGTCATCAGAAGACACTCAGACAAAGACTGCTTCAATTGACATCCTCACGTACATAGTTGAGTTCTCACCTTCAGTTGTGAGAGAATACACTCTCCAGCAGACATCAACGAACAACGATGAAGTAAGTCCTGCACCCCTCATGGTTGCTGTACTTTTGTTGATTATTTCCAATTTGATTGTTTTAGTATAGAGTGATTTAGATTAACAAATCTAGTCAAAGCAGACATGATGGAGTACGGTACTTGACTAGGGATGAGTCGAATCCGAATCTCAAGAAAAGATTCAGATTCGAGATTCAAATAATAGGATTCCAAGATTCGCAAGCCTACCGACATCAAGATCCCAGGCCAAGAACGAAATGTTAGAGATGAGTGAGATTATGCTCCGGTCCGGTTTAAACAAAGATGCTTAACATACAGTTGTCTGCATTCTGCAATGTAAACCACAGAATTGAATGATTGCCTTGTTTACTTCTTATTTAAAGTCCAGTGTTGCCACAACCATTTGTTTCTTAAATGAAAATGATGCATTTGTTCCAACATGAGAAAGAGTTCTGTTGGTTGTTGTGATAACACTGATCAGAGCGTAAGGAGAACAGACTAACTAACTAGACTAGACTAGTAATGCGCGATTCGATTGCTAGGTTTCAATTCGAATGGTATCAACACATTCCTAGTTTTAACACGTATCACTAATTTCTATAGTAAAATCTTACAGCTTATCCACGTTGAATGTGTTTCAGGAGTTGGTTTTGCTGAATGTAATTATCGAACAAATGATTTGTGACACTGACCCTGAGCTGGGAAGAGCTGTACAACTGATGGGGATCCTCAGGATACTCATTGATCCTGAAAACATGCTAGCTACTATCAACAAAACTGAGAAAACTGACTTCCTCAACTACTTCTATAAACACAGTATACATCTGTTAATAGGTAAATAAACCTATTACTTTGTACTTTCAGTGAATTTGAAAAACTAGTAAATTTAATTTGCATGTAACTAATAAAACTTTTATTCTGATTAAATGAAATAATACCCCCGCCGCAGCAAACCTGCAGACTAAGCGAATTTCCATTAGCCTGATTGGATTTACACTAAAATGCCTCCTTAAAGATATCACATTTATTCCCTATTTAAATAGAATTAGTTTAACGAGTACTTAGGTTTGCTGCAACAGGGAGGGTAAAAAAGTGTTTTTTAATGTAAAATGTTAATAGTTTAGTAAGAAATGAGTGTATATTACAAATTCAATCAAAATATGTTCCGTAAACAAGCAAACTACAACAGTTGACTTATTCTCCATAAGAATAACATTGGAATTTTAAAATTACATTTTTTTTAATTTTCTCCGTAACCCTTAGGCGCATAATAACGCTTCAATATACTAAATTATTTGTTTCTTTAAGCTCTACGCATGGTTTGGAAAGTAATTGTGAAATTTTGTTTTTTTAGGGTCAAAAATGGGAAAAACCTTTTTTTACCCCATAAAACCCCCCATAAACCCCCGTTCCCATAGTCCAATCATGCTGGTTCGCGAACTCGTTAGAATAAATGTAGGTTTACACGTTTATACCAAATTTCATAAAAATCGGATCATTTTTGCTCGTGTTATTGTGCTAACGGACATATATAGGCTATGTATAAATATATAGGCTATGTATAAATATATAGGCTATGTATAAATATATAGGCTATATATAAATATATAGGCTATATATAAATATATATATATATGAATTTAAACGGATGGTGTTTTTGGCCTCTAGGGACCTCAAAACAAAAAGTAAATCGGTCCCGGGTCCAGTTCTTACCATGAGTACTACAGTAATAGCTTATTCCCTAAATGGGAAATTCGCTAAAAATGAAATTAAATGTTTATTTGTCATTTTAAGTATATAACTGTGACATAAAAACACTTAACTTACTATAATAAAATTTTTTTGAACAGTTTTTTGTAATTTTAATCCAACCCTTTGAGGTCAAATTTTTTTTGTTTTTCGACGAGCATAGTTTTTCATTCCAGCAATGAGGAAAATGGCGCCCGGCGACCTACACTCGCCATTCGACGGGAAAGATAATTTTGTTGTTGTGAGTATAGGTTGCCATTTTTGAGCAGTCGGGAAAATGGCGGGCAGCGACCTATATTCACCATTCAACCGCAAAGGGTTAAAATCTGTACAAAATCCTTATATAGGCCCTATCCCCACCGACTGAAGGAATACCAATCACTACACACCACCTCTAAGAGAGGTTAGGTTTTTGTTTTTTACTACCTGTTGTCAAATATAATCAGCTGGTTGGTGTCCGGTAAAAACTCATTACAGTACAGTAGTACGTAATGAAACCCCATTTGATTAAGCCGGCGGCAAACAGCTGTTTTCCTGGACTAAATCCTTGCGTGGGAAGTTTGTTAAAACAGTGTAGTGTGGTGAATTTCCCTATAGGGAAGTAGCTATTACCGTAGGTGGCACGGTAAGACCTGAAGCTGGCACCGATATACTTTTTCATTTTGATTTCCCTAGAGGCCAAAATCACTATTCGTTTAATTTTTATATATGTGTATATATACAGGGTGTTGAAAGAGTCTTAACACACCCAAAAAAAATTAAACAGCGTAAGATAAAATTTTGCAACTTCAACATATCATTTTATATGGCGACTTTTCTACCTTTTTGCAAGAAATCAAAATTTTACCCCCTCCCCCTTTAAAAGTAGAAAGGGGGAAACTAAAAATTCTTAAACGTAAAGACCCATGTTGTGACCCTCATTTTAAAGGTCTTAATTAGTAGAATATAATGCCGCAATTTGAACTCAAACGGATAACCGAATACAGAATACCCGAGTTGAAAATGCCGTTCAAAGATATCTTGAATCTGCCATTTTGAATCTTTGAAGGGCTCTCATTTTTGACTCAGTTGTTCTTTTGTGCTCAAATTTGTGGCATTGTATTCTGCCAATAAAGACCTTTAATTAGATGTGCATATTGACCTATCCATACGTTTATGATTTTAACACATAGCCTAATTCAGTTATGCGGATCTACTCAGGGGGGGATGGCACGCTAGAAGTCAGAGGAAAATCATAATTCAATAACCACAATATGGTGTATTGGTACACATCTACGTTCTAACACTTCACCTAAACAATAGAAAGAAGTAAAGTTCTCACAGCTTTTTGTTGCTGCTTGGTTCAAATTAGCTGTTACAGGGTGTCCACCGACCGGGAAAACCGGGAATTATGCGTGATTTTTTTTTAACCGGGAATTATGCGTGAATTTTGTATTCAACCGGGAATTTTTCGCCGCGACCGCGGGAGAGGGAGATGACAATGACGTAACTGTGGGAGACGATGACGACGTTTCCGTGACCACGGGAGACAACGATGACGTATTCGTAACCGCGGGAGACGATGACGACGTTTCCGTGTCCGCGGGAGTTGACGATGACGTTTTCGTGACCGCGGGAGACGACGATGACGTTTTTGTGACCGCGGGAGACGACGATGACGTTTCTGTGATCGCGCATTCAGACGATGACAATTCCTTGACTGCGGGAAACGATGATGACGGTTCCGTGACCGAGGGAGACGACGATGACGTTTCCGTGATCGCGGGTGGAGACAATGACGTTTCCATGACGGCGGGAGACGACGACGATGTTTCCGTGATCGTGGAAGACGACGATGACATTTCCGTGACTGCGGAAGACGACCATGACGTTTCCGTGATTGCGCATGCAAACAATGATGTTTCCGTGACTGCGGGATGATGATGTCCAACAATATTGCTTGATGATGACGACCGCGGGAAATTATTTGAATTAAGCTATCATCGAGGAAGATTATGATAACTTTACTTTGATCGGGGGAGTGATTATAATGTTTCCGTTACCGCTGAACAATATCAGGATTTTTTCACGACCACGTAAGACAGTGGTGATGTTTCTGTTACTGAGTGAGATATTCAGGATTTTTCAGTTATTGCAGAAAACGATTATGGTGTCTCTACGACTGTGTTAGATGATTACAATATAACCTCGAGTTTAGCTTGACCAAAAATTTCAAAATGGCACACTTCTAGAAAGTTTTTTTAAAATATTTTTTTTGTTATATCTTCATCTACCTTTAACGTGGGTTTAAAACATAAATTGGTTACGTGCAATTTTTGTAATTTCTGCATTATTATTTCTGTAGGCTACTTGGAAAACAACCCATTACTCCAAAATTATACTATATGAAAGTACAAATAGCCAGGGGTTGGTGTAGTAATCCTTCAGAAAATTTGGAAAAATTGTTATGATCAGTATTAAGAATCTATTTTTCAGTTGTCTGTACGGAGATTCGATAAAGTTTGGTATCGACATATCACTATTTTTAGGAAGTTATTAATAAATTGCAGGTTTAAGGATTAGTTTTTAATTTTGGATTATTTAATCAGTAATATATAAAAATTTAATACTTTTGTCAGGCAATATTACAGCAATCATAATTTTTTCCCCCTTAACTGAGAATGCTCTTTTAGATAATTAAATAACGAGCTGTGTTAGTGCTAAAACATCATTGCTGGAGTTGGCGCAAAACACGTTAGAAATTTTTGTATGAAAAGTATGACCTGAACTACCTGGATTTTTTTTTTTTACTCATGAATTACTCATGAATTGTTTCTTGTTGGCCACCTGTGTTATCATACATGTATTAAGAACTAACGAGAGCACGCCCCGTGTTCGAAAAATCGACCAAAAGTATGTTTTGTACAAACTTCTCTATTTTCACCCCACACTGTAAATAAAACATGTGATTGGAATGTCTTCCATTTGTTTTGATTTTCTGTTTATATTGTGTTGTTATTTCGTCATCACCATAGCAACCCATAAGACCCATGTTAATTTTTTAAAACTTCAAATTCATTTTTTGTGCTTATTTTTGAGCCTATTTTAATTTATAAAGGGATTCTGCACACCTACAAGAAAATAGCTTTCTAACGGTATGCGTAGATTTTCCCTACGATACACACGAGCTGAGAAAAAAGGTTTTAAAGAAACATGCTTGCCTATTAATATATAGATAGATGGTGCTGCACCCTGTTGGTAAACCTTTTAATGCTACACAAATTATTTAGTTGAAACAGCTGGCAAAATTCTTTAATTCCTTTTAAATATGAATACTCATAAGGTTAATATGGGAAACTGTAGAGTAGAGCCACTGGGGCAGAGCCCGAAAGGATTTTTGAGTTAAGTATATGTCTATATGTTAATCGGGAATATGAGCTATCATCATACCAAATTTCAACACAATCCGACCAGTAGCAAATGTGTGATTGAACTTCAAACAAACACACATACTTTCACATTTATAATATTAGTATGATAACTGTTTTTTTTTAATCAGTTTTAGCTGCCATTTTGTTATTAGTTGTCCAATTTCTATTTTCTTTATGTTAATTGTTTAGTTTTTCAAGACCTGTTAGATGATACTAAAATCGACCATACTTCCTATTTAAAAATTTTAAGCTACCCCCAAACTAAGAGCCAAAAATAAGCCAAACCTACCCACTACCACTAAGAGCCAAATTTTCAAAATTAACCATCATTATTGTAGCCTTTCATATTGAAACAGGTTGCCGCAAACCGATTTCAAATATCTCAAATAGCATAAAAGTTAAGAGGGTTTCAAGTTAATTTTCAGCCACCCTCATGGTTATTTGGATTCAAAGTGTTTTAGGATGCCATTTTGTTATTAGTGGTCCGATATGGGTTTTCTTTATGTCTATTGTTTAGTTTTGTCAAGACCTGTAAAATGATACCAAACTCGACTATGCCATTTAAAAATTTTGAGCTACCCCCGCCACCCCTAAGGGCAAAATTTTCAAAATTAGCCATCATTATTGTAGCTCTTCATAACTAAAAGGTTGCTGCAAATTGATTTCAAATATCTCAAATAGTTGAAAAGCTAAGAGCAAGCTTACTTTCTGCCACCATGTATACATATATATACACTATATATATATATTATATTATATTTGTTCATGGAAATATTTTGATCAAACTTGGTAAAATTTATTTATTTTATACTAAGCTACTAATATTTTACTAAAAACACATTTTATTGGCCTCCTTGTAACAGCAAACCTAGGTACTCGTTAAACCTAATGTTATTTAAATAGATTTAATTTAAAATAAATTAAGGCAAATGGAAATTCGCTTAGTCTGCAGGTTTGCTGCAGTGGGGGTATTTTGTATATACATAAATAATGCCACTTGGGAAAAAGATCAGTATACATCACTGCATTAATCGAGTAACAAAATTTGTCAACATCGATGGAGCAATAATTAGGGAATAAAAGCTACAGGGCAAAATAAGAATCACAGAAATTGTCACAATTCTACTAAAGAGAGTGTACTCACAAGTATCCCATCCTAATAGATACCACAATAAGATGCAAAGTAGTGATATCTAACTATCTTATAGGCATATATTTTGTTGGCAAATAGTATCAGAGAAAAGTTAAAAAATTACAGTTATGTTAAGTTTTACTGTACACATTCACTTGAAAGTTAATGCCAGTTTGAGTGGCTGTGAACAGTTGTCTAATGGCTGTTCCAGCACCACTGCTAGCCAACACAGTGGACAACGTTCCAGCCAAGGATGACTACCAGACAGTGCAACTGTTGGGCCTGATTCTGGAACTGTTGTCCTTCTGCGTGGAACATCACACATACAACATAAAAAACTGCATCCTCAGTAAAGACCTGCTCCGGCGCATTCTGGTTCTTATGAAGTCCAACCACACGTTCCTTGTCCTTTGTAAGTAGCTCATGATGCAACCACTGAGATTTATTGCCATTTGAATAAGAGATGTGGGTGTGTCAGTTAATTAGATTTTTTGTAAAAAAAAGTTATATTGATTAACAGATAAAAATTACAAAACCTTTTATGAACATTTCTTACTCCCACCCTCTACTGTTTTAGTCATTAAACATAAAACCGAAACTACCCTCCTGTTGAGGCTTTGGATGTCTGCTAAAAAGTGCTGAACATCTCATAAGATCTGACTAATCCCTAATGTAAATTTTATATAAAGTTGAAGAAAATGTTTCTTTTGACTAAATCATGATATAAATAATATTTTACAATAAATTTCCTTTGATTTTACGTTCTATGGTCATTTATCAGAATATGTCAGTTGAGAATTGTAGTTTCCCACTGTTGTTAAAACTTCTCAGTTACAGTTCAATCTAAAACAACTCAATGTCATGGATAGGATAAGATCATCATATTTCATAGACAAAAATAAACATTCAGTATTGCCCTAGTAATATAGCTCATGATCACAATGGGTGAATTTTGGGTATACAGTAGAACCTCGATAGTGTATTAATGGGGTGTGTTGAACTAACAAAATTTCGAAAGGGAGTATATCGGACATTTATATTCAGGAAATGTTTAAAACATGAGATGAAGCAAACAAATATAATGAATATCTATAAATAAAATTACAGTTTTGTCTATACGTTGCGAAGAATCATGTAGTTTTTTGTTATTTTTTGGTCTCAAAGCCTAAGAAAGACAAAATGAGTCTTATCTCAATTTCTGTCTGTATGTCTGTCTGTCGTTGTGTCTGTAACTCCAAATTGCTAATTTACACAGCCTACTCCGAGAAAACAAGATTACCTATCAAGATTCAAACAATTTTAATGTATTCACTGGATTGGTGAGAGTGTCTTTAGCCATTCAAATATTGTCTCACTACTTTGTAAATAAAGTAACGGACATTCAAAAACCCAAGTTTGTGCGATTTTTGTCAAGTTTTCTCCCAATGTTTACCACATACATAATTTATAACAAAATAATTATCTGTTTGGAAGGTAGGTAATCTGTGAAATAACAAACAGCTGTTTGGATCAAGATTATTTTTTCTAGCTGTCACTGATATGTTTACATGAATAATATTGTTTACTAATTTGCCTACTGCAACCTTTTCCGATCACATTTTGTAAGAAACCCCAAATCAAGTGGGTTAAAAAACGTTGTGCCTTACATAACGGATTTAATTAATCGCAAGTGCAATGATGTGTAACCGTAAATTAAATTAAATAACTAGGTATCATCCAGGTCGGGAACCGAAGATTCTGTGTGCATTCAATTGTACTTGAGTTTCGATAATGGGTAAAAAGACCGTGAATCAGTGTTGTTCATGGCCACGAAATTCATGGCCTAAGCCTAAACTACTTAGGAAATAAAATTACTAACGTCCAAAAAACCAATTTTGTGCGATTTTTTTCACGTTTCCGCCTAATGAGTACTAGATATACCAATCATAGTTTAGATAATACGTCATCTGTTATCTATTGAATAACAAACCGTTGTCGGGATAAAGGTTGTTTCTTTATACTGTCACTGATATGTTAACATTAAAAGTTGTTTACAAATAATGCAATTAATCGGAAATAACTTTGATTTCTGATAACATTTTGTGAGAAATCCGAAACCAAGGGAGATTAATAACCTTGTGACCAGATTAACACATTTTATTGGTTGGTAGTACTAAAGTTCTTAATTAACTGTAAACATTGGTTTTTGGTACTGGTACTTTTCTTTAGAACCGGTGATAGCGAGAATCATTTTTACGTACCAACACATCACTATTTACAACTTTGTTATCGTTGGAGTTGCACCTTATTACTTACAGTCATATTAAATTTAATTGATCTCTCTGTATAAGTCTAACTGTATAAGTTTTGCGTTTTCTGTCTGAATTCCAAAATGTTAGTTTATGCTATGAAAATGTTACACATTTGAGTAAAACATTTTTTGAGCAAACCATCATGAATCTTTTACGCTTTACGCTGTTTACGTATCCAATAGTTTGTGGCCTGTGTATTGTAAATTACCCACGAATACTAGAACAAATCCGGTATAGATCATAATAGTGATGGGTGGATCCAAGAAAATGTCGGTACCGGATCTTGAAAAATTCGACAGATACACACTGTCATAAGGGTGGGTTAATAAACATAATTAACAGAATGCCAATTTAAATCATACTGTTTCAAATTAAATTAGTAATGTTTAAAGGTTAATATATCAGTACTGTGACATTGCACAACCATACAGGTTATTGACGTTGGCAATATACAGTACTGTAACATTGCCCACCCATAGAGGTTATTTACGTCGTAATATACAGTACTGTGACATTGCCAAACCATACAGGTTATTGATGTCGTAATATACACTACTGTGACATTGCCCACCCATACAACTTAGCCATACAGGTTATTGACGTCGTAATATACAGTACTGTGACATTGCCTAACCATAGAGGTTATTTACATCGTAATATACAGTACTGTGACATTGCCCACCCATACAGGTTATTGACGTCGTAATATACAGTACTGTGACATTGCCCACCCATACAGGTTATTGACGTCGTAATATACAGTACTGTGACATTGCCCACCCATAGAGGTTATTTACGTCGTAATATACACTACTGTGACATTGCCCACCCATAGAGGTTATTTACGTCGTAATATACAGTACTGCCTAACCATAGAGGTTATTTACGTCGTAATATACACTACTGTGACATTGCCCAACCATACAGGTTTTTGACGTCGTAATATACAGTACTGTGACATTGCCCAACCATACAGGCTATTGACGTCATAATATACAGTACTGTGACATTGCCCAATCATACAGGTTATTGACATCATAATATACAGAACTGCGACATTTCCCAACCATACAGGTTATTGATGTCGTAATATACAGTACTGGGACATTGCCTAACCATACAGGCTATTGACGTCGTAATATACAGTACTGTGACATTGCCCACCCATAGAGGTTATTTACGTCATAATATACAGTACTGTGACATTGCCCAACCATACAGGTTATTGACGTCGTAATATACAGTACTGTGACATTGCCCACCCATAGAGGTTATTTACATCGTAATATACAGTACTGTGACATTTCCCAACCATAGAGGTTATTTACGTCATAATATACAGAACTGTGACATTGATTAAAAAATTGGGAAAATCGGTCTTGTACATGGATACAGACAGCTTTGTGTTAGTAAACAAATCGGGAATAATTGGTCTTGAACATGGATACAGACAGCTTTGTGTTAGTAAAATAAATCGGAAAAAATCGGATCCAGCCCATGATCCGGAATTTTTTGGATCCGATCGGGTACCGGTTCTAGCTCGGATCCGGCGGATCCGGTAGTCTGATATCCGGATCCGGCCATCACTAGATCATAATCATTTAAACAAATGATGATACTGGCCCAAAAGTTAACATATTAACATTGATTGCTCAAAAGGAACTCTCTAAACCATATGTCAATGCTAATAGTAACAATGGCATCAGGCTAATTACATCATTTGCTCATGTTTTTGATCCATACGGGTTTCTGTTCTAATTCGTGTAAATTACCAATTTAATCGTCTTTAGTACTTCATTTCATATAGTATGCCATCATTTCGACACCATTTTGGGTCATCTTCGGATTAAGCAAATATAAATTGTTGTTACGGACGACGGTATTATCACTGCACGTTAAGTAAATACGATATGATCAAATTTGATGACACTAACAAAGATTTTAAATACTAATGTACTTTGATTTGGTTAAAGCGTAGATAATGTCTTGATTCAATTCTGTATGTCTGTTGGGAACGCATCAATGTCCTTATTTCTTAGTGTTTTGTGGGAAAGACAAGAGCACCTTTGTTAATGAAAATTTCAACCGGAATAAAGTGTGCAATTGTGAGGTTGAGGTAGTATTATACCTACTTTTAACCAGTGTGTAAAGTAGCTTATAATTAACCTACCTGAGCTTAAGCCTAAGATTAAGCCTACCTGAGGGATATGCCTCGTATATCACTATAAAGCTGTTTTTTTTCTAAAGCATTTGTTTTGGCTTGAAACGGTCAGATATTGTATTTGCGAAGGTTTAGATGGGGATGCGGAATACTATCCCCCGGAAAACTACCCCCCCAGGTGAAACGTGACGTCACAAAATCTGCCAACTAACCAATATGGAAGCCATGTCCGCGACTGGAACACTACCCCCCCTAGACAAATCATGCTATTTAATTTTAATTTTAATTCGAGTAATTCCATTGGATAATAGAAAAGTCATGTGGTGAATATAAAACAGAATATCGAAATGTTACAGCAAGTTTGGTTGGTTAGGTTAGGTTAGATTAGAACTGTTTGACAACTAAATTTGAGTGTCCGTGACTGGAAAACTACCCCCCCGGTCTCTGACGTCAATATGACGTAGGAACCTGTTTGGGGGGGTAGTTTTCCGGGGGGCAGTCTTCCGGCGACCCGTTTAGATATATTCCTATAATAGTTTTACCAGCATATCTGGAAAAATACACACTTATATCCAAACCAACTGCTGTTCTGAATATAAGAAGGTTTAATCTGACTACAAGATAAACAGACACACAGCTATACTCAATTTCACGTTCACCGTGCAGTACGGAGCGCCCGTATGCCATGTATTTCAAATGGGAGTTTCCGCGCTACTAGCCGTCCTCAAAACATCAACAGCCGTGAACCGCTACTGCGCTACTCCATACCACTGCATAAACCCTTTTAATTTTGTTTAGGTTTTTATTGATGATTTAGTTATTTAGTTAGTAGATTAGTTATATCACTTAATACCTACTTATTTACCTATAAATATTTAAGAATGACATTTAAAGAACCATTTTGTTTTAACTGCAAAAATGACTATAATAATTTATGCACTAGTCAAAACATCTTAGAAAACATTTTAGAATAAAAAATCAAACTACTACATATTTTAATTATTTTCACGCAAAACCATAAGCCGATTCTTTGCGTCAAAATTGTTGGCGACTGGGAAGTCGTAGAACGACGGGAGAGGGCTCAAATTAAAGGTCTTGGTCCCGTGACGGCGGGAAAAATAGTGAAATTCCTGAAATCTTAACACAAAATTAGATATAACGTAAAATTTTCTTCATAAGAATAGCATTAGAAGGCATTTACTGCTGATTTTTGTTTACTTCAATACAGCTGATCGTGATTTATCATTAAGCAAGTAAGCTTACATTTGGATTACTCATTTGCCAGTAAATTCTGCAATGTAATGTATACTATATAAAACGAACGATATAAAGGGATAACGTTACCCTTAATAATCAAGACTTTTTAGTTGTGACAAAACTAATTTTATTTATATAGATAAGATACTGACTGTGGTTAAACATTCAACTTAAACACGCCTTAATATTTAAAAGAATAACATACAGTATAATTTTTATTAGTCTAAGACAAATTACCAGACTATCTTGATAAATGCCATAAAACACACAGAAATTAGAAAAATGAACTTGAGCGCCTTCACGAGAGTCGCGAGGACTGTTTACGCATCCCGCATGACAGAAAACATGAATTTTACAGTAATGGTAGTAGCAAGGCTATCTCCATAAGACCTGTACTGCACGGTGAACGTGGAATTGAGTATAGTACTAGTATAAAACATGACAAAAATAAAACAATCTTATCAACTTAGATCTCAACCGTACGTTCATTTAGCTTCTTACTGTAGAAAATAATTTGTAATATTTAACTTCTTTTCACTAAGGAAAAAATGTAAATCAATAGGATGGTTTAAGTTAAAGTTCAAAGCAAAATATTGAGTTTTTGCATGCCCAAAAACAATAAGAAGGCCCTAGTTTTAACCTCAGCGAAACCGTCACGTAATCAGGTCTCTGTCGAAGTATAGGGACTGTCGAATTATTGAGGTTCTACTGTACCAACATAATATATGAGACAAATTGTACTTCAATTCTAGGGATTTCTTTGATAAGGGAATAGTGGCGAGTAACAGTCCATTTGAACAAACTATAAATGGTAAAATTTAAAATATTTTGTGGTCAAATAATTATTTTTAAATCTGATGTAAGTAGTAAAACCATTCCATCTATATATCAATGGACAAAGAAATTTACTGTAACCTTCAATGACTTTACTTCTTTTGTATAGCTTCAATGTGAGTTCTTTATTATTTTAATTATTTGTCATTTATAGTCCATTTGTTTGTTAAGGGAGACATTTTATATTTTACTGAAAGTACCCAATACAACACTTGGTGGTTAATTTGTCTGAACTTATCAGGGCTGTTAAGTTTTCTACATTATTGAGTTGTGTTGATGTTTGGTTTTTAATGTTTAGGTGCTCTGAGGTTCATGAGGAAGATTATAGCTTTGAAAGATGAATTCTACAACAGATACATTGTCAAAGGAAAGTTGTTTGAACCAGTAATTGATGCATTCATAAGAAACAACGGTCGATACAACCTCCTTGATTCAGCCATTTTAGAAATGTTTGAATACATCAAACTGGTGAGTTGCAAGCATTTGGTTGGTCAATATTTTAACAGTTGTGAACACTCCTGTTCCAATTAATTTCCAATTTTAAGCAGCAATTCATAGCATTTGATTTATATAATTGGTGTAATGGTGTGTAACACAGTTTCAGCCTCAGGTAGTGCAAACCACTAAGTTTTTAAGTCTACTTAATTTAGGTACTACTATTGACTATTGGATACCGAAGTTGTATTGATAGTCAAAGGTACAGTAGAACTCCGATTATCCGAATCAATAGGGACCAGACCCCATTCGGATAATCAAAAATTCGGATAATCGGAGTTTTACCGGGATTCCGGGAATTTTAAAGAAAAATCCTCATTTTCGGTACTAAGTGAACTTTTAATTAATAATAATTTAAATCAGAACATTTTTACAGTTTACAATGCTCATAGTACAAGTGTTCTATACATGTTATTAAGTCAATAGTGTTCCATCAAAGTCCAAAATTGGCTAAATGTGTTTAATAACAATTCTTTGATATTTTGCAAAACTTATTACTGTAGCTTTACGTTTTTAAAATTGTTGAAATAAGTGATTCGGATAATTGGAGATTCAGTTAATTGGAGTTCGGATAATTGGAGTTCTACTGTACTACTTATTGGGAGCCAAGCATGGTGCTGTATTTTTGTTGATACTACTAACACAGCCAATTCATTAATTTACAATGCAATATTCTTGTATTGTTCAAACACAATGCAATGGGGTGAAATACAATATCATTACCAAACACGTTTGTTTGAATTTATTTTTTTATTTTATTATTTTTTTTTTCAATTTTGCATACAATTCATTAAACTAAATTTGTTCACAATAATTCAACTAATGATGTGCTTTATGGCTTCGGCCTTCCCCTGTAAGATGAAGAAGGAAAAAATGATGAAGCTAAATTAAAGTTACTATCTTAGTGGACATAAGAGATCAAGTAGCTCCAGCTGAAATTCAAAACCATCCCAAAAAACATCTTAAAAATAAAGGGGAGTGCTCCAAAAGGAGTTAACTGCCCTTCTTATATAAAAAAAGATAGCTTTTGTCACACTTTAGCTGGTCCACCCTGTATTTTATTACGAGCTAATAATTGTATCTACTACTTAAGTATATCATCTAAATCCTTTTCAATCTTTTGCGGCCCAATATTTTTTAATTTTGTGGCAATCAAGCTGCTAATCAGTTTGGAGCTTAAAGCACCTCCCAGCAAAATTTACAAAAATCAGACTTATTATTTATTTTGTGAAACCTATTGAGTTAACAAAGTTTTATTTTTAGGAGGACATAAAAACACTTTGTTCACATGTGGTAGAAAACTACACCAAAGTATTGGACCAAGTAGATTATGTTCAAACATTCAAAGCTCTAAAACTACGGTACCACCAACATCAAGACAAGAAAGAAAGAGAGAAAGCAGCCGAACGAGGATTGGATAGGTGGGTTAAACTATTCTAAATTTTGCTTATTGATAATGTTAGAAAAATTTGTTCTCTGAGTTTTGATAATAATGTAACCAAATGCCATTATATAATTACCTGATAACTTGTTACTTTTAACTTTGAATCTCATTAGTTAATATCACATCAAGTAGTTTCAATGGTAAACTGTTATGTCTAGTGTTCCGTCCATCTTGCGCAACAACAGATACAGAAGAGATCAGCGACAGTTGGAGGAAGAGGAGGAGATGTGGTTCAACGAGGAAGATGACTTTGATGATGGTGAGGCGGTCGTACCTGCAAATACTAGCAATATCATCAACAAAAAGTTAAACTCCGAACTCGACTCGATAGGTTAGTGCCAGCAGGATAGGAAATTATAATCTAAATATCCGTAGTTATGATGTAAATTTAATTGAAAATAACGAACCAAGAAGCTGTGCCAAGACAATTAAAAATGTCCTTACTGACTTACAAGACTTACTAACATTAAAAATAAGTAATGATGGGTCGGTTGATATTTGTATTAGTTTTTTTCGGTCCAGTTTTTGTTATGTCACTTTTTTGTTTTTAAATAGATAAAAGTAGGGATGTGTCGACTCAAGATATCACCCATACTTGTATATTGGTATTGGTATATAGAACCAATCGTTTAACTTAAAAGTATTTTCTGATAACCAACATGTCTGCAAAGATTGTGCGATCAGAGAATTTCCGCTATTATCGGTAATTCATGATTTTCCTGCGATTGTGAAAGGCAATGATGATGTTTCTGATAACTCGGAGAGTATTCAGTGTTTTGCCGAGACGGGAGGAGACTATGACAGTGTCTACAAGACCGCAGAAAATGAACGAAAGTCTGAGGCTCGCACACCTCTACTACTAATAAACCAAAGCCGGCATTTTCTGTAAATTCTTGATTTTGGATTTCTTTCTGAAATATAAACCAGTAAAACCGACACCTAACATTAAAAACTGACCCATCTCTAATAACAAGTTTAGTGCCTAGAACTAAGACTAAAGTAGGTAGTTATCTTGGTCACCACAATGTGTATGTTTATTTTGTTACATATTTTAAAATTTTTTCAGGGAAATCTATTGATAAGAAGAGCGAGGGAAGCAGTGGTAAAATTTTTGGCAATGGTCCAAAATCACCAATTTTGAACAACAACCTTAACAGCATAACAGGGTCTTCTCCACTGACTCCATCTCAAGGCGATGTTAAATGTGCAGCTCTTTTCAAAAAGGTATTTGTATTCACGTACTTTTTATTTCATGTAACTGTATTAAGTGTTGGACAACTCTGGCTCGGATTAAAATACTAAGCTATTCTTAAAAATGCTTTGGAAATAATATTTTTTTAAATCCAAAACCAATTTATTGTTGATTCAGCAGCGAGCTTTAGGTACATCCAATCTAAATAATCAATAGCTCAAATGAAAGCTGGTATTTCATTGAAGGTTCTTATCTTAGACTGAAACATATTGGATAATGCAATTAGAACTGGTTTAATACACCTTAATTAAAGCAAGTATTAAATACCCCCACTGCAGCAAACCTGCAGACTAAGCGAATTTCCATTTACCTGATTGGATTTACACTAAAATGTTTCCTTAAAAATACTAGGGTGGTCTGCCGTTACACTTTAGACGCATAAATGAGCGAAGCATTATTTAAAGATTGTCAATGGCTAAAGCAGCTAACACCCTTCAATATGTTCCCTTTCAACAGATTCACCGTTTGTTTGTCCGATATTATTTCAATTCTAAAGAATGACAAATTTATCTGATAGTTTTGTTTAAGGAAAGGCTCTAGGCCAGGATTTTAAATGGTAGAAAAAGGAGGATAGCAGCTAGCTTACCTTGAAAGTAGGGGTCTGCGGGTCCCCGATTTTTTCGGGTCGGGTCGGGCCAGCGGAAGGCCCGAGAGACCGGGTCGGGTCAGAGATTTGATCGGGCCAAGATCGGGTCGGGCCCAAAAAAATTATTATTTTCAAAGTTATAATAAGTAATTTTCAAAGAAACACTCTTATATATATTACTAGCTGGCCCGACAGACGTCGTCCTGTCCTAATGTGGTTTTATGTCAAATGCTCGTTCATTTTCAAGATGAACTCGTTCGCATGGCTCAATCACGTCCTGGTTGAAGTGAGTGAGCGTGGTAAATTCTTGTTAAGAATTTAAGCTGATTTGTTAAGAATCAGCTGTTAAGATTCTTTAATTCCATTTAAATATGAGTACTCATAAGGTTAACATGGGAAACTCCAGAGCCACTGGGGCGGAGCCCTATTGACGGATCTGTACCAAACTTCACACAAACCATCCTTGAATAATACTTAATAATGCCTGAAAGTTTCATTACAATCTGTCGAGCGGTTTTGGAGTCCATAAAGGACAAACATACAAATATACAAACATACAAATATACAAATATACAAACATACATTGGATTTTATATATATAGATTACAGAGGAATTAAAATGTTAAAATTAGAATTAAATATTAAGTTTGCTCACGTTTAAGAACAAATACACAACAGAGCAATTGCCTTACTGTCACTAGCCAGAGCCAGTCGTCTACTGACAAAACAAAAGCCGTGACTCAATAGTGCAAAGAAAACGAAGTCAAAAGAAAGACTATTTATCCAGAGGTCCCATTTTAATTATTTATTGTTTATTCCATACCTAGTTTAAAATATATTTTAGTATTTTATTTACATAATAAATTATAAACAAAAGAAATATCTGATATAGTGTACAGATCTGTATCTTGTTCTTTTATTTTCCTATTGTCCTTTTTGTCATTCAGTAACAAAACAAAACAACACTTCTGATCGTCTGGTTAGGCATTGTATGGTCACTATTTCATTTTTTTTTTAAGTATCAAGTATCAGCAAGTCTACAAAGAGGTTAGGCCTAAATATTTTATAATTTTATTTTATTAAAGTTTTCATCAGTAAAATTATTTTTTTCTTAGGTTAGATAGAGTATCAAAAAAGATATTTCTAAGATCCAATACAATATTTACAAGACACAAACTACCATGAATTAATTTCTTTATAAATTATCTGTAACAGTTTTATATTTTTGAATAAAGAAAATATATCTTTTTGTCTCTACTTCCTTGTTTCGTTACTTGCATTTTGTCAGCAATTGGAACAACCAGGTGGTGTAATAGGGGCGGGGGAGGGGGAGGGTCTATGACCTTGAGTGTCCCCGGGCCTGGCTCGGGTTGTGTAAGAGGGGAGGGGAGGGGAGGGGGAGGGTCTGTAACCTTGAGTGTCCCCGGGCCCGGCTGTGAGAGTGATTCATGGTTTTTTGTTTACATTCTACTACCCTTCCTTCCGAGAAAAAGACCCTACGGTTTCAAAAACATTGACTTACAGTATAAAAACATTGAGTTGTGTTGCTAATTAGGGCACTATAATGTCTCTGCTGTCTGCTTATGTTGCCAAATTAGCATTTAACTTTCTTTTCTCTTGATTTAATATAATTTTCTATATATTAAGAGTTCCTTTTTGGGTACCTAATAATTGTGATATTGTTTGACTTGAGTTTATGGATTTTTAATTCTTTTCATTTATTAGCTAAAATCAGTTGTTTTAGGATCTCTTGCAATACCTATAACTGTGCCTATAACTGTGTACCTATGACATGATATGCAATTTTTACAGTCTTTACTATAACTATACCATAAACAATGTATGTGTGCTATTTTTACTGTTTTAGAGTTTTATAGTAAATTAGTTTACACAATATCTTTTCTTCAATGAGTTCTCCACTTGTCATGTTGCTTAGTCTATTACTATTTTAGGCCCTATAAAAAATAATTCCTATGTAAAGCTGTAGGCCTACTAATGCCAATAATAGATAATTCTTTATTTATGATGATGTAACTAATAATGCTATTGTAAGTGTGAGGTTTTTGTACTTAGGAGGTTAGGAGGCAGGGAATGAATGATTCATATTGCATGGTGGAAACATAGAATTTTTATTATTTTATTTTAATTTCCATTTTTTGATTTTTAAATTTTGACATTTTTTACTAAAAAATTGCAATATTTCATAAATAAAACTGGATAACAAAAAACGGATTGCGGCATTGAGTTAAGCTTAAAAAAGTAGTTTGATATGATGGGTCACAACACCCCCTTCATATTTAAAATAATTTATCACATTTCAAAATGGTGGATCCAAGATGGCGGCCGAAAAAAATACATCAGTCATAACCAAGTGAAAATAGGTCGACAATTACTGGTAGTGGATACTTATCTTTATCTAGCACTATTTTGAGATTATGGTCTTAGTTTGTAAATGCACAATGTTAAAATGGGCTAAAAATAAAGTTTTAAAAAGCCCTCATAACTTTAGAATGAATCAAGATTTTTTAAAACAGTTTGCGGCATTGTAATCAGGGTAAAAATCTAGTTCGAAATAATGGGTCACAACTCCACCTTTACATTTGAAAAAAAAATTTTGTATCCAATATGGCGGATCCAAGATGGCGGCCGGAAATGACCACCTTGTCAAAATGAAGTACTTACTACTCAACAATGTTTGGAAGGGGTCTGGGATTGATATTTGAAAAAATGTAGAAAAAAGTTGGGGGGGGGACAATTAAAACTCACCCTGTATATATATATATATGAATTTGAACGGATGGTGTTTTTGGTCTCTAGGGACCTCAAAACGAAAAAGTAAATCGGTCCCGGGTCCAGGTCTTACCATGAGTACTATGGTAATAGCTTATTCCCTATATGGGAAATTCGCTAATATTCCCTATATGGGAAATTCGCTAAAAGAAAATCAAATTTATGTTTTTGGTCGAGTAATACAGTAGATAAATGAATGATGATTCTTGATGGCAAATCTGTCTGTGCATACAGTAGAACTCCGACTATCCGAATCAATAGGGACCAGAACCCATTCGGATTATAAAAAATTCGGATAGTCGGAGTTTTGCTGGAATTCTGGGAATTTTAAAGAAAAATCCTCATTTTCGGTACTAAATGAACTTTTTATTAATAATAAATGAAATCAGAACATTTTTACAGTTTACAATGCTGATAGTACAAGTGTTCTATACATGTTATTAAGTTAATAGTGTTCCATCAAAGTCAAAAATTACACACTGGCTTAATGTGTTAAATAACAATTCTTTGATATTTTGCGAAGCTTATTACTGTAGCTTTACGTTTTTAAAATTGTTGAAGTAAGCGATTCGGATAGTCGGCGATTCGGTTAGTTGAAGTTCTACTGTACCTTTAATTTAAGACCAAAGTTATAAAAATTGGTTGGGTAGAAGAGCCAAACGAACTCGGAAAAGAAAAACCAAATTTAACTCCCATAAGAAATGTACCTTGTGAGGAAGTTGCATTAGTGTATTACTAAAAATATACGTCAGATAAATTAATGCCGATGCTTGATGGCAAATCTGTCCGTGCATACCTTTAATTTAAGACCAAGATTATGCAAATCGGTCTGTTGGAAGAGCCAAACTGACTAAGAGATTGTAAACATTACTGTAAAGTGTCAAATAAAATAGAAACATTTTGTGGACATCACTTGCAGTATAGTTGTGTGTACCTGTTTGCAGGCTCTGGTGGACTACGAAGGCGACTCAGATGAAGATGAAGAGGAAGGAGGAGAACTTCTCCCAACCCCGAAGCGTGCAAGATTCTCCTAGAATGGATGTTTATAATTTTTTAATCGGTTTTAAATTTATTTTATTTATATGGTTCACAGTGATGAAAGTGAAAAGCTATATAGTTTTTATAGCTAGAAAGACAATTATTTATAAATTAATAATACTCATATGTGGACGAATTTGTAAATACTTAAATAGGTTTACTTTATGTATGAACGTCCAGTGTCTGTGTAAAGAGATCATTGTGCGCTATATAGACCCAATCTTGTTTATATCTGTAACAAATTAAATCCTTGTGACTGTTGGATTTAATTTTGTCTAAAATTCTTTGACCTTCCTTGTGTTTCCTGCTTAACCCCAGGTGTCTGAACTGTTCACACTGGGAAAGGACAAACTTGGCGAGGATTGTTGAAGGTGTAGAATCTTGTTAATTGGTTTTTCTCGATTTACCCAAATAGGGATGGGTGGGTCCTGAAATTTTAGGAAATTTCCAATGAAGATATATTATCGATCATTGAGGCGGGATTATGAATGATTCGGGATTTTCTCAAGATGGCGGATCAAGAATTTGATGTGATGATGGTATTTTCTCGGATCTTCTATGTCACGAGTGGCGATGTTGATGTCTCCTTAATAGCGGGGAGATGTCCTTGGTATTGCCATTGACAGTGATATGTCTCCGTGATTGCGAGACATGTTCAAGATGGCCCCACAAACTCGAGACGTGTTGATAGGGGTCTGCGGTGCACCGAAAAAGTCGGTACGATTCTAGGCTAGAACCGGTAGACTAGAATTTGGCTTTTGTGCCGTACCGACCTTAAATTTTCTATACTACAGACCCCTACATGTTGACAATGGTGCCTTGATAGCAGGAAATGTCCACTATAGTGCCACAATCGCTGATTATTGTAATGATTATAGGTCATGACAGTCATGATGATACTTACACATAACAACACGTATGAATACTAAAGCTTATACTGCTTTTCCACAGGTCCCTGTGTTTATATACCTTAAAACCCTTCTCAGTTTTTAAAAATGTTGTTTTAGTTGGTTTACTTTAAATACTAGTTTGTGGTTAGCTAGCAGTGTTTTATAACTATATTTATGTTGGTAGGTTAATAGCACCAAAATTATTTTTTTCCCTTAACAGCTTTTGTTACTTAAGTATTTTTACCCATTATGATCTTTTGGAACAGTGTAATTTGGTTTTATTAGTCATTATTGCTATCTGCAAGATTCATTTGGTCAATATTTTCAATACAAACTTTTTTGCATGGATAAAAAAATCCTGTCCTGAAAATCAGAAAGGAAATTAAAATTCCATCCCGAACTAAAAAATATATAATCCCATCCATTCCTACATGTTATAGTATCTAAAGTAGTCATGAAATAAAAAGGATAGAAGTGTTTCAGCTTCATTATATGTAAATAGTGTTTTCTGTTTTTAAAATTTAAAGTATAGTTAAATGGTTATGATAGGCTAGCTTATATAACCATCAGGCTGCCCACTACCACAATTTTCTCCAAAGTTAATATTGTTGAAATATGAGTGTAAGACTAAGCTAGCAAGAAATTACTGCGGTCGGAAAAAATGTATAGTCGAATGGTTTTGGTAATAGTAGTTAGACTGCCTTATCGTTCTATATTTTAATGGTTTCAAAGTCAATGTTATGGAAGTGACCAGACCTAGCAGTGGAACTTTGCATTGATAACATTATTACTAATGAGAAACATCAGATAGAAAACATCCTCGTTAAAGATATAGGTCTTTCCGATCATAGTGTCATTTGGGCTACATTACCCGGATTTAATTTTTGTGTAAATTTAAAAAAATAGCCACAATTATTACAACACTAGAAACCGGGATTTACTTATACAGGGTGTTTGGTAGTCAGTGTCAAATATTTTAAGGCATTATTAAGCAAGTAAATTGCGATAAAAATACACAATTTGGATAGTTATATCTCACTCCTACTTCCGGCAACAGCCATTTTTAGATTTTTCCAAATTTCTTGACATTGCCTAATAAAATCTCATATTTCTCAACTTTTAACCTACATAATGATATTTTCGATTGCGTTTTTAGAATCGTCATTAAATTTTCTATCTAATCTTAGTCAAGAACTATTTTTTAAGTCTGAACTAAAGAAATTATGCTTTAGTCCACGGACTAAAACATGCTAGATTTTAATCCTGCATAGGGGTAGGATTAATTTTAGCCGTCCACTTTTAACCTAAGCCATTTTTATTTGTTAAAGTTTAAGGTGATTATGGATTACATTGATTATCACGATTTTTACCGTTTTCGTCGGCCGAGAATTTGTCGTGAGCGGGAAAACAATCCATTTGATGACTTAAGTGAGGATGAATTCAAGGATAAGTTAGGTGTAGATTTAAAAAAAAAAAACTCTGTGAAAGAACTAATTGAATTGATAAGTCCTAGTTTGTAAGGCACTTCCACAAGGGGAACTAGGTTACCTTTGTGGAAGAAAGTGTTGGTAGCGTTGCGCTTTTTTGCAAGTGGAAAACTTTTGCGGGAAGCCGGCAATCTAACTAATATTTCAAAATCATCGGAATGCCACTATGTGCCTAAAGTGGCATTGGCAATATGCCGTGAACTGAGGAAAGACTGCATCAAGAGCTTTTACTCCCACCCAAAACCTCTAATTCCCACTGGTCCTCTAGGTTATGTGGTAGATGGTTATTGCTGATATATATGAAATTGTAGGGGTCAAAGGAAGCCTCAACAACTAAAAAGTCATTTGAGAAAGTTAGTTTTGGTGTCTAGGAACAGTTTAAACAAGTCTTATAGAACATTTCAAGTGATTAGGAGAACAAGGATTAGTGCTGATGAAAAGCAAAACTTAGTTTAGAGTAGTAAGTTAGACAGTGTGTAAAGAAAGAGACTTCCGTAACTTCTGTTGTCAAGAACAACCGAATGAAATAATTGATTATTCAATATTTCGATTATTTCATTAGCCTGGTCGACAAGTTTTTTTTAAAAAAGCTAGGATAGGCCAGTACGTTAGTACCGGTAACTTATGACTCCCTGTTAAAATTACCTTAGCATTATTGCAATAAGCCTATTCAAACTATGGCTGCACTTTACTTTAGGTCCTACACTCATTGGAATGAAAATATCGTTATATCGTTTGGTTAGTTAGGTAAGGTTAACCTATCCAAACAATATATCGAATAAAACAATCGAATAACCGATATTTTAATTCGAAGGAGTGTAGGGCGTAAAGTAAAGTGCAGCCAAAAGAAATAGGATGAAACACCAATCCTACCTCTAAAACACCTTTAAAATTTTACGATACAACTAGTTTATCTATATAAATAAAATTAGAGTTTTGTCTGTACATTGCTTAGAATAATGAACTTTTTGGTTATTTTTACATTTCATAGGTCAGAGAAACCGAATCAAACCTTATCTCAATTTCTGTCTGTCTGTCTGTCTGTCTGTCTGTCTGTCTATCTGTCATTCTCTTGGTAACGCTAAAATACGCACTTTATTACAACTACTCCTCAATAACTATAGCACTGTCCCGCCTGAAACTTATTTTCCAAATACTATACATATATGAGATGGTTTTAGACGTATTTCATCGAATATGAGACAGTTAGATATTTAACAGTAAACCCTTGAAAATCAAGTTTTTGTCGATTTTTGACGTGGAATTTCTGGAAGCCCATGTTAACCTTATGAGAAATGAAATTATTGAATCTTAACAGCTGTTTCAATTAAACAAGTTGGTTCTGTTCTGTGATGTTCAATAGCATTAAAGTTACAAGGATTACCAACAGGGTGCAGCACTAGCACTATTATTTCTTTTACATTTATGACAACAGCTAATTTGCAACCTGGAGGCGAGTGAGCGTAGCGAACGAGCTAACCTGAAGGCAAGTGAGCGTAGCGAACGAGCTAACCTGAAGGAAAGTGAGCGCAGCGAACGAGCTCCAACATACAGGTGAGTGAGCGTAGCGAACGAACTTCAACCAGGACGTGATTGAGCCATGCAAACGAGATCAGATAGTAAAAATAAAAGTAAGCCTACCGTTATAGGATCGACCGGCAGACACAGAGGTAATTTAACCTTTTATTGATTGTCATACCGATCCGGAACAACAAAAAACAACATAAAATGAAGCTATGTATAATAGTTTGGCCAGCATATCTTAAAATATGCAAACCAACTGCTGTTCTTTATATAAGAAGGTTTCAACTGAATATTATAAGATCCCCGTGCGTAGAACGGGTACACAGCTAGTAACAATAATAAAATATATTACAATGATAAATGAATTAAAACAGAAATAAACCTCAAAACCAAGGTTTGGCTGAGATCGTTGTTTGTTTACTTTTTCAGAGCAGTGCGCACATCAAACTGACAGTAGTGACAGTGTTGCCAGCACGGCGGCACAAATTACCCTACATTTCCCTTGTAAATCATGAGCTCTTTTAATCTCTGACTAAACTAAGTACCCGCTTTAAATTAGTCCGTGTGTCATTAATCCTTGACTCAGAAAGTGAATTTTTAGTACATGACTAATTTTAATCCATGACTAGCCTAGTTCTGGACTTATAAATCCCTGACTCAGAAACCCGCCCTTGATTCAAGACTGCAGTTAGGGTGTGCTGCAAAAACCTAGATAGGTTTGTCAATTAAGTGTGTCGAATAAATATATGTCCCATTAAATAAATTGTTTGTAAAATAATTTATGTGCACAATATATGCATCAAGAACATGCATCAGACATAACCAGGCCTACCTTGTATATGAAAATTTGCTTCGGTAGAAAAAATCTAAATTACATATGATCAGTATCTTCGTAATCACAACTAACGTGTGTATTTATAAATATCACTACTTTTACGTGGCATTCAAAGCACTACAACTAGTTTGGGCTGTACTATACAACAGTATTAGATTTTACAAGTTTACTTGGGGTATACTTAATTATACAGTTACCTTTTGCACACAACTTTCACTAAATGTGTTCTTGTAATTAATGAGTAGAGTTAATGAAAAAATAATTAATTTTATGTTTAACACAATATTTCTCTCCTTAGGCTGACATTACATGTCACATATTGCATATAATTTTATAGCTTAAAATGGAGTAAGCTTAAACTTAACTGGAGTAGTAAATGAGCTTGATTCCATAAACTGCTCAGCTGGGCTTTTCTTCGACCTCAGTAAGGCATTCGATACTGTTGATCACAGGTTGCTGCTACGGAGAATGAGTGAGGTGGGAATACGTGGCCTGGCCTTTTAAACTGAATCTCGAGTTACCTTGAAGGCAGA